AATGGTTCCACCATGATTATGTTTATTCAGTGACTATCATTTTCCTTGTAATGCCTCTAGCTCTTAAATCTGTATTCATCTTTCTGAACACATAGTGAAACTGTCTTTAGATTGGATAATATTTTTAACTTCTTTCCTCTGGGTCTTAGCTCCTTCATCTCTGTAGAGAATTAGTCTAGGTGGGTAATTTCAAATAGCTTCTCCAGGCTTGTCATTGGCTAGTCCTCAATTTTCTCTTCCCAATGAGTAAGGCTTTTGATCATCTGTGAGTTCATATATGTCATGAAAAATGCTCAGTGAGCCTGGCTTGTTTGGATCAGTGGTTGAGTGTTGGCCCATGAACCAGGTGGTCCCAGTTTGATTCCCAGGTTGCAGACTCAGTTCCCAATGCGGGGTGTGCAGGAGGCAGCTGATAGGTGATGTTTCTTTCTCTCTCATATCAATGTTTCTATCCCTCTCTCTTCCTCTTTCTCTAAAAATCAATAAAACAACTTTTTTTAAAAATGCTCAGTGACATTAGGAAGACGTTAACTTTTCAGATACTTTTAAAAAATTTTTGTTGTTTTGAAGTTCCACTCCCAGTATTCTCTACCTTGACATTATAGGGCCAACATTTATTTCATCCAGGGAAATATAAAGTACCAAGTTTGGAAACACAAGTTGACTGGCATTTTATTGCATATTTATGCTAAAGATGTTCTGGTGCTTTTTATAGACTGAAGTGTCCACGAAGCTGCTCGTTTGCCAGTTTTGTATTCTGGTGGCTGTCCATATGTTATTCATTTTGTCTCTAGCTTACATAGGTTCCATAAACAAAATGTGGTATATTTAAACAGTATCTACCATCTCACAAATACACTGAGAATATTACTAATACTTTGTCAATGGCTTATGAAACCACAGAATGATGACTCTTAAGAAATACCATATTTAGGATTATGGTATGACATTACTCTGCCACCCAAACTTATGGATAATGGCAACCAGTAACCTAATTGCCTCTCCTGTCACTCAAAGTAAATGTAAGTTTGATGCCATCAAGCCCGTTTTACCTAAAGGTAAACATGATTCGATAAAAACACACATGGTAGGCTGGATCTTTTCTTGACTCTGTGCCCTCAATCAGCGGTTTCTAGATTTTATTTCATAGACAATAAATTTATTTTCTTCTTAAAGCACATGTGTGATATAAGGTAGATAAGTTAGCTCTTTATTTGGACACCACAAAATTCTACCATCTACTATTAGTACAATTTTGTGTCACACTGGAAATGGAGGAAGCACAGTTGATGATAAACTCTTGCTTCGCAAGATCAGTGAAAAACTAACTCCCCATGCCTGTGCCCAGTCCACAGAGCAGCACTTGGAGGGATGGCTCAGCTTCAAGCCAATCAAGAGGATGAATGATGTGTCCATATTTCATGATGCACCTGGTCACATGCCTACATTCCTTGGTTATTCTGGGAGAGAAATGACACATGTCACTCGGTGAGAGGAGCCAGCCCTGCTGTTCGGATGTGAAGCCTTCCAGTGACGTGGCATGATAGAGGCTGATTGTGCAGGCTCTGCATTTCAGTGTCAGCTACCAAAAGAAAGCTGTCATCTAGAGGAGGAACAAGATGAAATCAGAATCACAGAACCGTGTTCCTTCCTGCCTGAAGGCACAGTCGTCTTACTCAGCACCAGCTCTTAAGCACCTGACTTTGAGAAATATATTTGGCATAGAAGTGTAGGAAAATGATTATCTACACATATATTCTTTCTACATATATATATACATATATATGTAGGCAAATGATCATCTACATAAATATTATATCTATCTATCTATCTATCTATCGATTGATCTGATCTTTCCTGTGATGTTATTTTACCTTTCTTTTCCAAATTGGACCTAGCCTCCTCTGAATCCTCTGATTAAAACCTTCCAATAAGTTATAGTCACATCCAAATGCGTTAGCATGACCACCAGGACCCTGCCCGATCTGGGCCCCGTGCAACCCCCCACACTCAGCTTGTGCAACTGTCCCTCTTCGCAGACTATCCACTGGCTTCCTTAGATTTACTTCTGTTCTTCGAAGTGTGGGCCCCCCTTAGGAAGTTGTGCGTCGCTTGTGTTCTTGGTCTCCCCAAATTTTGCTGAGGTGCTCCCTTCTCGGAGAGGAACTTCCTGCACACCTTTAGCTGAAGTTACTTACACCCCTTTGCACTCACCTTCTCACTAGGATGGGCCTTTCCTTCTTGGCTTTCGGAGTGGTTTTACTTATATGCTTTGTGGTTTGTTGCTCTGTGTCTATAGCAGGACACCCACCCTCTGTGTGCGTATGGAATTCCCAGGGCTTAAATAGGACCTGACACAGGATGAGCACTCAGTCGTGATTGTTGAAGGAGGTTTTCTGGGAGCAGCCGCTGCTGATTGTGGTAGTTCAGTAATTTCTGCATCAATATTCAGAACTGTTGGTCTTCTAGATAGTCATGCAATTACTTTCAACAAAGAAGTGTTATTAGATATTTATTTGCCATTGACATGAATATTTGTTCACAGTTATCATAAAATTGGTAAGGGACAACAGTGTGATGTACCCAGGATAGGGTTGAAATTTTGTTTCTGCTTCTTTTGAGCTCTGTAACCTTGTGAAGCCACCATTTCTCTGTCTCTTTAATAGGGGTAATAGATAACTCTGGGGAATGTTATAAATATTGGATGAGTTATATTTATAAAGAGCCCAGGACAGGGCCTGAATACAAGGCCCGGCACATAGAAGGAATTGTATGAATCATACATACAAATGTGCGTATGGAATTCCCAGGGCTTAAATAGGACCTGACACAGGATGAGCACTCAGTCGTGATTGTTGAAGGAGGTTTTCTGGGAGCAGCCGCTGCTGATTGTGGTAGTTCAGTAATTTCTGCATCAATATTCAGAACTGTTGGTCTTCTAGATAGTCATGCAATTACTTTCAACAAAGAAGTGTTATTAGATATTTATTTGCCATTGACATGAATATTTGTTCACAGTTATCATAAAATTGGTAAGGGACAACAGTGTGATGTACCCAGGATCGGGTTGAAATTTTGTTTCTTCTTCTTTTGAGCTCTGTAACCTTGTGAAGCCTCCATTTCTCTGTCTCTATAATAGGGGTACATTATTCCTTTCCAAAAGGGTTATTCCTTTCCAAAAGTCAATTACAGCCCTCCCAAGCTACTGTCATCCCATCTGGGGAATGTTACAAATATTGGATGAGTTATATTTATAAAGAGCCCAGGACAGGGCCTGAATACAAGGCCCGGCACATAGAAAGAATTGTATGAATCATACATACAAAAATCTTGCCTGTATCATTCCAACTTTTCTTCTTTTTGTTGTAAATATGCCTTGTATGTGTACAAGGCCAGACAGACAATTAATTATACAGGTGAATCACAATAGTGGCCTAGTCATGTATGGAAATATTTCTCTATCATGTTTAGGTGTTTGTAGTAAAGTAATACATTTCACAAAGTACCCAAAACTTAGCTCAATGTAATTTTGCAATTTTATTTTCTTTGCCTTGTATTGATATATTTTATGGACCTATTATTGATATGTTTTCCCATATTCTTTTCCATACCCTTTTATACTTCCAAAAATCTGTAATTTTAGCTCTTTAAAGAACTTTTTCTGCTTCCAAGCTGAGTGTTTGCATTCTCTGATTTTAGAGGTAAAATTTTTAACTCCAGCTCTGTTTATTTTCCCATCTCATATCTGATTAATTACAGAGCCTCATGAGTTAAACACACACAGCCCTATAATATGGGCAGGCACAGTGTGCACAGAGGGTAGTGGTGTGAGGTGTTGTGAAAACATGGGCGTAAGACAAGCCTGGGGGAAATGGGGTGAGTTACCTTATATTCGTACTTGCTGTGGAGAAGGTAAATGCTCACTAATCGTACATGCAGGTAGGTGCTTCTCTAATGCTGACATGTAACCCAGTACCTCAAATAGATCAAGCATCGCCAGGACGAAAACCAAGGGTGCAGCATGTTGGTAGAGAGAGCATGTGCATTTCCATCATCTGGGAGCAGCAGGGGCTCCTGGCAGGAAGTGGCCTACTTCCTGCAGTGCTGACTCACAGACTCATCACCAGTGGCCCCGAGACATCATCCCACAGTGTGCCCACGGCCCACTTGCCTCTCTGCAAAGGCAGGAAGACTCAGACTGCCACGTGCTTCCCATCCCATATGGTTCCATACACCCACTATTCTGACTTCCTCTCCTGCCCCTCTCCTTCCCCTCCCCCCACACTGGTTCCTAAAGGTCTTATCAAGGAAATGCAGCTGACCTCCAATTCTTCGTTAAATATTTCATTCACTTTTTTTTTTCTTAAACTAAAGCTAGTTCTCCCGTGAGGGCACTTCCCCTGTAGCTCATGCTAGTGTGACTTTTCCCTTTCCAAAAGTCAATTACAGCCCTTCCCTGCAGTCCCAGCTCATTGCTTACTTGATTATTCTTTCCCACACTGCCTGTATCCAATCCATTGGCTCAATTTTAAAATAAATCTGGGACCTGACCACTTCTAATTAGTTCCACCTTTACCATCTGTTTCAAGCTACTGGCATCCCACCTGGGTTATTGTAACACCTCCTGAGTGATTTACTTCTACCCTTGCACCCTTTTGTTATTGGAGAAATATGTGGATGGGACTTCTCCAATGCTAGTGGGAGGGGGGTATCCCTTTCCCCACTGAATGCTGGGGGTCGGGTCTTATGATATCTCGAGAAAAAGAATTTTCTGAGACTCGCATGGGAGGATGAGTGATTTTTAATTGCATGGAACTACATCCTTGGGTTTCCAAAGTCCCATTTCCCTTATTCTAGACCTGGAAGATATGCAGCGGGAGACTCAGCTGACCTAAAAGCAAAGCCAGTATCCAAAGTTTCTGTTCCATAGTGGAGCTGGGTTTGGTTTAGCATCAGGCTAGTTGTAGTCCGTTAGTCCATTGTGTTACTGGGCGTGCCTATAATATTTGGTTTTCCCTTTGCTCCTTTCCAGTTATTAATAAATAGGTTCATTACAACAGTATCACTTTGGGCTTATTTTTTATGTAGCTGCCAGAGCATTCCTTTGAAAATCTAAGTCAGATAAGGTCACTTCATGGCTCCAAACCTTCCAATGGCTCCCAATCCCATGAAAAGGCCCATCATGTCCTACATATCTGACTCCCCAGTTCCCTCTATATTCTTGTCCTCTATCACACTGCCTGTTTATTTCCCTCTAGCACACTGTCTCTTTGCTGTACCAAGAAATTTGCTAATAATGCCCTTGACTCATGACTTTTGCACCAACCCTTTCCCTTTATCTGGAATGTGTTTTCAACAGATATTCTCTCATCTGTCACGTCTTTCAGAACCCTACTCAAAGGTCAATTGTGGGTGAGATCTTCCATGACTACCCTATAAAACAGTGAACTTCTCCCCAGTGTTATCTATCCACCCTGCTGTTTTATTTTTTCTTCATAGCACTCATCACAATTTCATATATTATATACTAGAGGCCCGGTGCATGAATTCATGCACCAGTGGGGTCCCTTGGCCTGGCCTGTGGGGATTGGGCCAAAACTGGGTCTCTGACATTCCCTGAGGGGTCCTGGATTGCGAGAGGGTGGATCTTAAAGTAGCATAAGAAATACAGGTTAAAATATTAAAATTAAGCAAATACAGTCTTGGGCTATGTACTGTAAAGGAGGAAACATCATTTTAAAAGTATATATTTATGAGAGGAAACTGATCCAATCTGAAGGATGAAGTAAGTCTTCCCTGGATAGGTGTAATCATGATATGAATGGAGTTTTGAGTGATGAGGAAAGGTTAGCAAGAAGAAGAGGAGGGGAGTATATTCCTACAAAAAGACTAGATGTTTATCCCCAGAAGGAGCAGGAGGGAGCCAGTGTTATCAACTGACTGAAGGAAGGCTTAGGTGACCCTTGATAATGCTCTGGTATTATTATTGTTCTATTGACTACCTATGAAAGCATAGCAGATATTGAGAACTGTGTAATCTCATATGCAATGTTCTGTGGTCTGCTCTTTCTTTTTCAGGAATCAGTTTACCATTAACTGAAAAGTTCAACTTCTTGTTTGTGTTAATGGACTTCTTTCTTTTTTGTATTGTTGACACTACTAGAGATATCCCCCATTTCCCTACCTCCACCTAGCCACCCCGCTTCCTTGGCTGTTACCACACTGTTGTCTGTGTCCATCGGCCACGCATATATGTTCTTTGGCTAATTCCCTCACCTTCTTTTAACCAGCGACCCTTTTCCCCGCCCCCTCCCCTCTTACACCTGTCAGTCTGTTCCATGTATCTATGTCTCTGGTTCTATTTTGTTCTTCAGTTTATTTTGTTCATTAGATTCCACATATGAGTGAGATTATGTGATACTGTCTTTCTCTGATGAACTTATTTCACTTAGCATAATAATCTCTAGGTCCATCCATGCTGTCAAAAAGGGTAAGAGTTCCTTCTTTTTTACAGCCATGTAGTATTCCATCATATAAATATATCACAGTTTTTTATCCACTCATATACTGATGGGAATTTGGGCTGTGTCCAGATCTTGGCAATTGTAAATAATGCTGCTGTGAACATAGGAGTGCACATATTCTTTCTGATTGGTGTTTTTGGATGGATTCTTAGGATATATTCCCAGAAATTGGATTTCTGGGACAAAAGGCAGTTCCATTTTTAATGTTTTGAGGAAATACCATACTGTTTTCCACAGTGCTGCACCAATTTGCATTCCTACCAGCAATATATTAGGGTTCCCTTTTCTCCACATCCTCACCAGTACTTGCTGATTTATTAATGATAACCATTCTGGCAGGTGAGGTGATACCTTATTGTAGTTTTAATTTGCATTTCTCTGATGATTAGTGACATTGAGCATTTATTCATATGTCTTTTGGCCATCTATATGTTCTCTTTGGAGAAGTGTTCATTCAGGTCATTTGCATATATATATATATAAATAAATATTATTGATTTCATAGAGGAAGGGAGAGGGAGAGAGAGATAGAAACATCAATGATGAGAGATAATCATTGATTGGTTGCCTCCTGCATGCTCCCTATTGGGGACCAAGCCCACAACCCAGGCATATGCCCTTGACTGTAATCACACCCAGGATCTTCACTCTGCAAGCCAATCTCTATCCACTGAGCAACATGGGCCAGGGCATCCCTTGCCCCCTTCAGTCCGCAGGTCGACGCTCTATCCACTGCGCCAAACCGATTAGGGCTCCCTTTCCCATTTTAAATTGGATTGAGTACTATAAGTTCTTTACATATTTTTGGAAATTAACCCCTTATCAGATGTATCATTGGAGAAGATGTTCTCCCATACAGTGGGTTCCCTTTTCATTTTGTTGATGGTTTCTTTTGCTGTGCAGAAGCTGTTTTGTTTAATGTCCCATTTGTTTACTTTCTCCTTTGTTCTCCTTGTCCTGTGAGATGGATCAGCAAAAATATGGCTATGAAAGGTGTCCGAGATTTTACTGCCTATGTTTTCTTGTATGATTTTGTGACTTACATTAAAGTTTGAGTGTATGTTGGTGGTGCAGTTTTATTTTTTTGCATGTATCTGTCCAATTTTCCTGACACCATTTATTGAAGAGACTGTTTGGACTTATTTTCACTTTCTTAGTCTTTCTTTCAAGGAGCCCTGTCCTGACATTCTAGTTCTTTGTAGCTCATGCTTTTTCATACAGCTAACTTCCTATTTTTATTGCTGAATCATCCAATCAGGCTTAATTGTCTCTCCAGCTGGCTCTGTCCTTTTGCAGAAAAAATTCTGCTACAGGTGCATTTTTTAAAATTAGGCACAGATGAGTGCCTGCATATGGATACAATTGTGATTTCAATCATGAATTCTGAAGAGAAATATGATTAGTGTGTTTTACCTTTCATCATGGCAACTAATCAATTAGGACCATCCCATCACAGGCTGACCCATAGTAATCAGTGAAAAATATATTTTTTAAAAGTTCCCTTTTACATGGTGTTTATGAGCTGCTTAATTATTTTCTTTCTTTTTAGCAATTTTATATAAATTTAAAATTTAATCACACAATCTTTTTTTTTTCAAAGGACTATGGTTTGAAATAAAAAACAACTAAAAATTGGAAGCTTTGAAATTAATGCGAATTCATTTTAATTTCCCCTCTATTGTTCATGAAAAACTAGATTTTCAAATAAATTCATTGTTTAAAAGTTGAAAGGGGGGATGATTAACCTATTGAAGCAAATGGCTTATAATTCTTACCATATGGAAGGAAATCTCTGGCTGAATGTTATGAAAAATATGAAATTATCACATATGTAAATTTTCTAAAATACTTTGTTCTATGTATTTTAATTGATTTTAATATACCTTATTGGTATTCTAAAATTAGTCCTAATTAGTGAATTATATGTTAGTAAAATAAACATTTTTTCTGCTCAGTTTATTCAAATATTAATGTTCAAATATTTCTGTTAGGTTAATCTGGTTGGAAAAATTCCACTTATATTGTCCCAGATGATATGTTTTGATCGGTGTAGATCAAATCAAAGATTCAGATTGTTTGAAACATTATATTTGATGGGCACAGCATCTGCTCTTATATGATATTCAAAATGTTTCCAGAAAACTCCATTTAACAAATATTTAATTTCTTCCTTTATTGTATTCATATTTACCTAGTTCGGCACATGACTCTTGCTCAGTTATCTCATATTTTAAATTTTATATATAAATCTAAAACTCATAGGGAAATAGAGGAAAAACTAATTAGTATATACAGATATTTTGCTAGCAAGTCCATTATTTGATTATATCAAGTAATCCACACAATAACTACAAAGGCAGGTATTATTCCTTTCTGTTACAGGTGGGGAAACTCAGGTTCAGAGACACTAAGAAACCTGATCATCAGAGGAAATCAGTAAAAATGTCCTTTAGGAAAAATGTTGATGCTGTGCCTGTTGTAAGTTGCATTAAGAACATAATAATTCTCCATGCTTCCACATTGCCCACGCCTCACAGGATACAGAACACTTCTCTCTGCTAGTGAGAGCACTACAGAAAAACAAAAATCAATTCAGTGTGATACATGAGGTGAAATAAGGCAAACAGGAGGAATCAGGGACTTCTATTTTCAGCTTTGTCACTATCTCATTAAATGAGCTCAGGAAAACATTTAACCTTTCGAAACCTGAGTTTCTCCTTCTGGGGGAAAAAAGAAGTAGAACAATTATGCGATTTATCTAACAAGGGTTTTCTGATGATTAAACAGTGTGAGTTTCAAGTTCCTGGAATAAAGGTTGCTAGAAATAAGAGCTCTTTAAATAAATAATCATCATGATCTCAAATCACTCTTAAAGGTTGGGGAATTTTTTTCCTAAGTACAAAGGGAACAAACACCTTTAATACCTTTCTCAGTGTTTCTCCTCAGGCCAGAAGCACTGTGTGTGTTGAGAAGAAAGTTGCTGAAAAAGAGCCTGATTTCCAGTCTACTTCTGTCGTTACCTTGCTATGTGACTTTGCTTAAATCATTTGATCTCTGAGACAGTTTCCTCATCTTAATCATCAGGGGTTGGATTAGGTGGTCTCTGTTATCTATTTCAACTTGAAACATCAGTGTGTTCTAGTCACCTAGAATAAAGCTTGGCACATAATATATGCTCAATAAATCATAGGTTGAATGAATGAAAGTATAGATCATGGAACTGCCTTCATTTGCTTTATTTGAGGCTCTGTAGAGGTGTCAGGTAGAGAAACTATAAGGGTCCCAGTGTTAGGGGAGAACATTTGAATGTAATGAGTTTTCTGTCACTATGATCATATGTGAAGGTTGGGCATAAAATTTGCTCAATCATCTTGTGTGTGAATTCGTTTCTGAGCCTGTCCCTCTTTTGATGGCAAAATGTGATGTACACAGTGGAGAACTGACTGGTGTAATAGTCATGCAGATTTGCTATTCTCACATCCGTTAGTCCCTTAATGCTCTCTGTAGTTTAGTTGTCTTCTCATACCAATCTGGTATTTTTTTAAATTTTGAAATAATGTTCAATCTACAGAAGAGTTGTAAATATAGTAGATAGCATTCCTCCTAGTAGACAGTAGATATACCTTTCACCCAGATTCCCCTAATATTAACATTTTGCAGAACATATGGTTCCCTTTTCAAAAGCAAGAAACTAGCTTTACTTTCTGGTACACTGGTACAATACCATTAACCACCAGACTTCCTTTACATTTCACCAGTTTTTCATGTCCTTTTCATATTCTAGCACCCCAGGACACCACAGTTAGTCATCATTTCCTTAGTGACATGAACTGTCCTGTAATTTTCTCATGACAAGGACACTTTGAGGAGTCCTGGTCAGGCATTTTATAAAATTATTTTTCTGAAGCTTTCTCATGATTAGACTTGGATTATGGCTGAAGTGAAGTATTCTTTTCATTACATCTTATTGGGGTACATGACATCAACATGACTTACCCTGGGTGACCTTGACCTTGATCACTTGATTAAGGTGGTATTTGCCAGAGTTTCTCCACTGTAAATTTTTCCTTTTTTCATACTCTGTTTAGTAGAAGCAAATCATTAAGTACCATCTACACTGAAGGGGAAGGAAATTCATCTCTACCACCTGAAGGGAGGAGTATCAGAAAATCTTTGGCCAGTGTGATTCAGTTGGTTGAGTTTGCCCCATACAACAAGGGGTTGCTGGTTCATTTCCCAATCAGGGCACATGCCCCACATTGTGGGCTCAATCCCCAGTAGGTCTGCAGGAGGCAGCTGGTTGATATTCCTCTCTCATCAATGTTTCTATTTGCCCGTCTCTCTTCTTCTCTCTCTAAAATCAATAGAAACATAAACAATTAAAAAATCTTTGGACATGAATTCAAATCATCACATTAATTAAGTATTTTTGAGGAGCAATATAGGCTATATGACTATCCTGTTTACCCTTAGAGTTTGGTTCACTCATTTTACCAGTTCAAGTGAACTTGGCTGAAACAACTATTACTGTAGTATTCTAACGGAGAGTTCTCTTATTTCTTCCTGATTTTTTATTTGAAATTACTCTGTAATGAAAATCTGTCTCTTCTTTTATTAGTCACTTATTTAACCATTTTTCTACATCAGTATGGACTCAGGAATATTTATTCTATCCTTTGGGCTTCAATCCAATACTATTGTTACTTATTTTGTTGCTCAGCTTTTTCCAACGATAGACAACTCTTTTAGGTTGGCTCCTGTGTCCTTTTGACATGTCCCTAACATTCCCCCTGGCATCACTTTCTGGCATTACGTGGTGCTCCAGATTCATCTTATATTTTCCCTCTGTAGCCATTGAATCTGCAATTTCTTCAGGGAGCCCTAGCTGTTCTTATTGGAATGATAGAGATTAAGATCTATGCACCTGATATGCGTACTGCTCCCAAGGTGTCATTGCTCCGAGGCCCTCTGAGATAGACAACAGGAGCAGTTTCAATCTAGGTTAGTGTCTCTGGGTGGAAACACTTCTGAAGAGGCTTGCTTTCCACTTCTCGTTATTTCTGTCCCTTGAAGACTTTTATATGACCGATTATAGAGTCCCTGCTGTTCTACCAATTTTTCTGCCAATTAAATGTGCACACAATTTTTAAAGCAAATATCAGCAAGAAATAAGATTTCACAACTACCTAAATAATAATGACCTTTGGATTGCACCCTAACGCACTTCTGAGTTTCAGACTTATACGCTCAACCTCTTGCTGAATTCTTCTACTTGAACATCTGCCTGGCACTTCAAATTCAGTGTGTGGAAGGCGCCCTCTTCACACACCCTATGAAAGGACCCTTCTCCTTTTTATGTATCTTCACAGCAAGACCACAACCAGTCATTTCAGGTGGACCCTCCATCAGCTCACCCTTCCAGTCAGTAACCACGGGGTATGTAGGGCATATTTGGTGACTGATTAGGCAGTGGCATTTCTTGCTGATTTTATTGCAGCCATGGCTACATGCACTCACGACACTGAATATTTGTAACATGCCAAGAAGTCTGCATTCCCTGTTTTCTTTTCCATCTTTCTTAGATGACTGTGTCATAGCTTCCATCTGTGCTCTGCCTGCTCTAGTAGACTGAGTCCCTGAAGAAGCACCAGACCTGCCCTGCGTGCCTCGCCCAAGCCCAGCACAGCCTCTGTGGGGGAGTAGGTCTGTGACATATTTTGTAGTGAATGGATGAGCAGACTGTGGAGCAGGCTGGGGAGAGGGGGCAATTACAGTCTTCTCAGAATGTCCTTTCTTGAATTAAATTTATATTCCTAGAAACTCATCATGTTTGCTGCTAAGATGGTGTGTTAGTGCGACAAAGAACACTGGTTATTCCGTAGTGAGTATTTGCAATGTGGAAACACTTCTAAGAGTATTACATGCATTCTTCTCAATTAACCTTCACAAAACACTACCAAGTAGGTTTTCTTCTCAATTTCACAAATGAGCACATTGAGCCCATGGCAGAGTTTGTGGGAGTTTCTCCCAGGGCTCACAGTGCCTTTTTGTCCGTTCTACCTAAAGAGTGGGGCATGAAGCACAGGACCGAGTTGTCACCAATAGGGTGGGAGTGAAAGGAATGAGCTTCATTTTTACACTTTCCCACACATTCCCTTCCATTCTGCTTTCCTTTCTCAGGCTAGAGACATGGTAAATGCTTGTTGGAGATCATGGAACCACTAGCTGGGAAGAGCCTGAGTCCCGGAATTCCTACTTGGAGCAGCGGCACTTGTTAATGAGGGGACACCCTTGGGCTTGAAATGAACGGGACTCCTTCTGTATTGTTAGAAACCCAAGAGTTCAGATTCCGTGGTCACAACTGTTAGCATCACCCTAACTAATACAGAAATGGGCAGTGGTTATTTAACTTTTCCTAAGTAATACATTTTTATAAAATAGGTACAAAAAATTAAAAGTTGCTTTGACCTGAATTTAATAGTTTACATTCTCTTAACTTATATGGCACCTCTTACTACGTGTGAATATACATTTTTTCTGTTTTTCAAAATTTTGTTTAGACATTGACAAATATTTTTCTTATTCCTAGTCCCACATTTAGCTCCTATCAAAAGCTTTGCCATTATATCTGATTCCAGCTTTTCATGGTGGTGTCTTCATCGCAGACAACTTCAAGATTAGGGTAACCGCCAGGGTATGTAGGACATATTGGGTGACTGATCAGTCAGTGGCATTTTCAGGTTTTTGCATATTGGAAGAATGGCTGTTATGTGTTTATGATGATAGAGTTACTCTATTTTGGTGAAAAGGTGAAGGAAAAATGGAGCTAGCTGATATATTTTAACAACCAGTTCCTTTGAACTGATTGGAGGAGCCATAGGATGCCTTTTCATCAACTTCTCCCTTTCCCTGTCCTGGATATTTAGTGTAAAGTAAAGATCATGGTGTTATTAATGTAAAAGACTTGAATTTTGTGGCAGAGTTCCAACATTATTGAATGTACCACTTTGAAAATGTGCTTTAAACATCTGAAAAAGAGTCTCATCAATGAAAACAATGAAATCTTACTCATAGGATTAACTCATAGGATTAATGTGAGGAATAAAGGAAGGAATGTCTTTAAGCATAGAATCTAGCACATGGGAGCCAAATTAATACATATCAGTATTTATCATTATTTGTCTTAAGTTTTTATTCCCTTGGGCATAGTCTCTATACTTAGAATAATATGAACTGCTAACTCTGTATCCATTATTTAACATGGTTTCCTAGTTTTCCACTATCCTATATAATAAAGAGCTAATATGCAAATGGTCACCACACCCTTGTGCCCTCGCACCATGGCAGGGGGACCTGAGGCTGGGCTGGTGGACCTGAAGCCGCATCCCCCGCCCCGGGGCCAGGGCCAGGGGACCTGAGGCTGCACCCC